AGGGAGGTTGCAGCGATTTATCAAAAGGAGCGTGGTTCGATTCGAGTCGACTAGCCACTTTTAAGACGCGTATCGGGGGCAAGCGACGAGAAATCTTCACCTTGAGCGAGACCCTCCTCGTTGCTCTTGGGTAGAAAAAACCCGAAGCAATCATTCCCCAGCGTTTAGTCGAACGAAGCTGTTTCATCCGCGCGACAAAAGCGCGATTATCTGGCCTCGGGACGCTCGATTCAATTCGCAAATTGCGCCCCGTTACGCTCAGACGGTCTCACGTTTGTTCTTTATAATTGTCTTGGAGTTTGAGTTGCTATACAAACTGCCAAGTCGATCCAGAACTCGATTCGCCGTGAACTATGACTTGAACTGCGCGAGCACGAGTTGCTGTTTGCTATTTTAGGACGATTGGTATTGGTAGGGGGATGCCAGAGGATTTTATGGGCACTTGTATTCTTGTGATCATCGGAGAAAAAGGTATATACGAGTAAACGCACTTGTTTGCGATTTTTTTTTAACATGAACGAGTGGGAATATTTTGTGTAACTTTTCTAAAGTATTATCTTGATACGGGAAAAATTTAAGAAGGTTGTATCTAGTCGTTCAGTTTGAAAAAAATTCGCTAGAAGTGCGTGCGAATCTTAAGACAAGAGAAGACACGTGCCTAATTTTAATCGGCACGCCAACGCGTAAAAGGGCCGAAGAAAAAGTAGTAAGGGGGAAAAAACAGAGCAGATGTGATCATTAGAGCATCTGTAAAAACAGAGTCAGGGGCTATATAGAGATTATTCGAGACTGGAAGTGACAGAAAAAATACAAACGCCAGAAGACAGTTGAAGGAAGTAAAAAGAGGAAGTATACAAAGAAACTGGAGCAATAAAATTTAAAAATTCAGAATGTGGATAATACCCCTTTGAAAATCGAAGACTACAACTATTGAGGCATAGTAAATAAAATAATCTTTGGTCCACATCCAGTACCTTATGAAAAATTACCTTTCTCTTCGAACAATAGAAAAATATATAACTTTAAGAGGGAGATAGATTAAAATAAAGAGTTTCAATGATGTTTAAGAGAATTATAGAAATTCCATACAAATATTGAGATTAAATGGACTCGATTTGATAAACACCATAATTGTGCTCAACTGTTGAGGAGTTATTCCAAGGATGAATAAAAAGTATTGGAAGAAGGATGAATTACTCAAAGATGAATCAAGCTGATCTCGAAAGTCGAATATGGAGTGTAGCAAGAACTAAAGTGGATTAGGAGTTCATTCTCCTTTTCCGTTAATTTCTGGGTTCATGGAAAGCAGATGGATCGCTACGCAACGGGTGAAAATTTATGCGGGTGATAACTCAACGTCTTCCCTCGCCGCACAATGATAATAACGATGGGAATGATTTACTCGAATTATCCGTGGCTTCGAAGAGCGCACGTGTTTCAGAATTAATGCTTCAAGACGGCCAAAACTATGTCTATCTTCGACATGTCTGGATCGAACATCTACGAGACTCTGAAACTATCATATGCGATATCGAATACCACGAATAAATTTCGAATATTCCAAATTTAATCACAAAATATTCTAGCATTGAATTATTCAAATAATAATATTCGAACGGTAATATTCAAATAATAATATCCAAATAAAGAATATTCGAATATTCGAAATTTATTCGTGATATTCGAATAACTACAAAATATTCAAGTGTTATATTATTCGATCAATAATATTCAAATAATGATATTCCAACAGAAATACTCGAATGGTAATATTCGAACGAAAGAATATTCACTATTCGAAATTTATTCATAACATGCTGATACCTGTGAACTATTTGAACCTCGAATTATTCGAATCATAGCCTTAGTTAAGAAGAACTGCTCTATACCGAACCGATCCTACCGGGAGTTATTATTGAAATGTTCGAGCGATTCCGGTGGTCGTCTCGCACCCGTCCGACTTTGATTAAATAAATATTTATTCCGAGCAGCAAAGGTTCCTGAAACACGCTGGTCCAGGGACCACGTGTTATTTTCGCTCGCTTCACGTGAACCTGAATGGAAAAGTTCCTCCCGCGCGACGTGTAAAAAAAGCATTTGTCACAGCCTCCGCGGACGAGTTTGTGCACCTCAACCGACGAGAACTTGCTAAAAGTAGCATCGTCTCGCGGAAAATCGAAGACAAATTTGACAATGAACTTAGTATTAGATGGACTGGCAAGTAATGTCGTTTTTGCCATCTTAAATACTTGTTTATCATTCATCAGCTCATTGATTTTTCTGGCATTGAAAATTGGCACACTAGATGGCAAAACGCTGCTGATAATGAGGGCGATTATACGACGAATTAAATATAGAAAATTGGAAATTTATTTGAATTTAATGTAAAAGAAACGACATTACTTTTCGGTCTACCTAATATTTATTCGAGCACGGGCGGACAAAAATGAAGAAATAAAGATTTTTGTAGAATGAAGCTGTAACGCATCTACAGAAGTTAAATTAAATTTCGTTTCTAATTGAATTAATTTGTAACGAGAAAACTCGTCTGAATAATCGATCCTAGAGCATAGGTGAATTTTCAAAAATAAAATACGATAGGAATATACAGAGTGATCGTAGAAATGTCATCCCCTTAAAAATATCACTACTTGTCTCTAAAGTCTCTACTATTAAACCTTCAATTTAGATTGAAAAAAGCACTATTTAATTCGAGAAAACAGTTCGGTACACCGCATCAGAAAAGGAATCACACATTCGACGATCAGTATTTTCAAGAAATGCTTATTCTATTATCGCCGCAGTATTCATAAAGGAGACTTTCCATCATAGCGAATGCGGTGGGAATCCAGTGTGCAGCGTAGATCACCGCGAAACATAACGCGATTATTGTTAATCGGAAGTACCAATCGCGAGCGGTGTTCGTCGGGCATTCATCAGTCGAATTTACGTTTCGCTCGTTTCTCCGTTCAAAGCGAGTTCGTTGCCAGATCTAAAACCGTCGTACCGACAATGACGTAGAATCTGAGTAAATCGCACCCGTTGTCCCTCATTTCGCATTAACGCCGCTCGACTAATCTTTCTTATTCCGGGTTGCAGCGCGTCGCTTTGTCGCGTCGACTTAATTTCGTATACGAACGTTCCCTTTGTTGGAGCTAGACATAGTCATTTAAATCTGTTTCAGGTTTTCATTTTCGATCAATAAAGAAACGACGAATAATCGCGTTCGTCGACTACCTTGTCATTTTCGGTACAGGGTTGAAATTATTGTTAATCAAAATTTGTGCAATTTCTCCGAAGGTGTATCGAGCAGCTCAGAAAATTTCAGGTTGATAGGTCGCGTACTTTTCTCGTGAGAAAATCCCAGATATCACCCCGGAGACACGAGGCCCGTCGACTAATTACTCGAGTAAAAATTTAATCTCTCGAAATGATAAGCTCGCTTCATCGGCGATTGAATTAATCGACACTGGCGTTAATTTTCAAATTAAAATTGAAATACCGGTGAAGTTAATCGAATTCATAAAAGGTGGTGTGAGTTTGAGCAGGAAGTAAACTTCAATTCGAGTCTGGTTAAACTTTCAACTACCGGTGATGATTCCGAGACACTCGTAAATCTTTCCGACCAAACGTCAGAAATCTCGAAGCATTGTTTAAATAGTAACAAAATTTACAGTAATCTAACCAACATAGCTGTCTCGATAAATCTCTTATCGCGGAAGATTGAGATCTACCGCGTAGCACCGCGGGAAGCTAAATTAATAATGTACGAATTAAGTAATTTCTAAAACCCTATCTGCACCTAATACGAATACAGTTGACGCACCAAATAAACTTGGTGAATCCAAGTGAAATTCGCGTTTAAAATAAGCGGGTTTATCCTTGACGAATGTCAGAATGAACCGGATATTTGGTTATTTGTTTACAAATCAGTAGAAGGTTAGAATAATGGTAGAAGCACTTCGTCTTCAATTGTATGGAAAAGTTTCAGTCGTCTATACGCAATGTTTGTATACAAACAAAAGAGAAGAGCAGAGATGGGTAAATTCAATTTTAGATACAAAGCTTGATAATAGATAAACAATTTTTAATTGAACAAGTTTATGACTGCTAAAAATAAGGATGTCGTCTTTTTTTTCGTTACAATTCAACCCATCTCTGATCGAGTGATTATTCAATGAACCAATTGTGTATTGTTACTAGTGTTTCTCGGGAATCAATGGTGATGCTAACAAAATATTGTTCTTTTATTATCGTAAGATACGCATCGCATAATTTGTTGCAATTAATACCTCGAACACAAAGCCTCGCACGAATTTCATAATATTTTGGCACATAGGACAGAATGTAGTGAACCGACATGCAATATCAATTTTTCTACATCTTGAGAATTGAAATAATTGGCGAAAGCTACCAGTAAGTAAATATATCGAACAAATATCAAATTGCAAGATTTAAGTTCAAAGGTGCCTCGATAATTTACGCAATTGTATAATATTCCCATACTGAAATTTTGCCAGTTATAACAAATCTTTCCCTGGGATACAATTTTTTAAATATTTAAATCCCGTGAGGCCTCCGATATCAATACCTACTCCGCTACACAACCGGCGAGGAAAATTTATGCGTGCTTTAAATAGATGTCTTAGGGATATATCAGTTTAAAGTTCCGAGCCCACTTTATTTTCCTCGTCCAAACCTGCACTCTTCGCTTTAAACAAAAAGTTCATTCTTTAAACTGTTCGAGGCGCAACCAAACATTAACACAAGTGTCTTTTTCATTCAGCTATGAACTCCAATTTACCCCTGAAAAATTGTTTACCTCCAACCACCCCTCGAAATTGTAGACACCTGTAGCCCAACCCCCTGCATATTGCATAAAAAGACCAAACCCCCACCTATCCTCGTACTAAAAAAAATCTCAATGTCACCATCGGCCCCCGAGAGACCAGCCCCGTAACAATTCACACGCATCGCCCTGTACAAGAGTCGCCACTTACTTCTTGGATCTTATAGCTGGTTCTAATGGTCTTTCGTTTGGTGGTGGTAACCTCGTAGGTCTCCTCGACGGTGGGCGCCTCATCGTCCTCGTTGTTGTTGTTTACAATCCCTTCGCTGGCCGAAGTGGCGTCGCCGAGGACGTCCGCGGCATCCATCCTCGAGTTCTCCGTGTCAGCTTCCAGCATGAACGAACGAACACCCAAGGAAACGTTCGAGTAATCACAGCGATTGGTCTCGACGGTACCTAATCGTATCTCGAAACGGTGGATTCACGAGTCACGAGGCGCTGGCTTCGGACCGACACGAAGTGCGTGGATTTGCGGGGCGAGCAAGGCCCCCTTAAGCGAGAAACGGATGAAAATTGGCCCCTGCAGCGGTCTCGCGAAAAACTCAGGTTGGAGCAACTGCAGAAACTATTCCGGGATTGGCGAAGTTCTGCACGAAGCCGAGAGACTGGCCGTACTAAAGCACCGCGGTTCGAGAAACCCGCCGCGAACGTGTTCCCGCGCGCCTTTCAACGGGCGAAAATAGATTCTCAAGTTTTCCCAATGGAACTCCACGCGCTCGTGCTCGGCCAGTGTCGATTTCGTCGGTCGCCGACGCGATAAATTTGCCCGGAACCCCCTGCTGTCGATCGAAGACACCGCCTCGGCCCGTTTACACTCTCGGTTATCGTTTAAAATCGTGTTACTCCGGCAGCTACGTTCGCAGTCGTGATGTAAGAAAAGCTGGCAACGCTGCACACACCCTTCCCGGTATTTTAATGGTTTTGCTGAAAGCGATTTTGCGAATGAAACAAAAGATTAGAAATTTAAATAGTATTGGAGGATGATGTGTTGTTAACGTACCGCGTCTTGTGGTTTTTGGATATATTGCGAGATATGGGGTGAGATGAAGGACGTAGATATATAGATGCGTGCGATCGTGTGCGGAGAATTTGAGGAAAGTTGGATAGCATCAATTTTCTGGGTGTAGAAATCAGTGCGTTAATTAGTCTAGTATCATCTTCAGCCCGCCACAGCGATGCTAATACTTGAATTTATCGAGGGTAGGAAAACGTTGACGCAAGGGATGTCGTGGTTTGCAGAGTTGCATCGGAGTAGGCTTTTCGGAGGAGGGATGTCTACAGGAATGATCCAGGCTTCTAAAAAAGAAATAAAATTCAAAAGCGAAAGTAAATACGTCGTTAAAAATTTGTACTATAAAAGGAAAAAATTGGTTAGATTCTAGAGAATTAATAATTGGAAAATTTTGAAACATTGTTGTCAGCTTTGTTGCAGAAATCCGAGGGGATCAAAGTTTTACCCTCGGAAGCAATACGTCCCCTCTGTTAGAACAGGGGAAGTAATGCGGCGTGACGAAGCCGCACGACTACCGGGAAACGTATCGATCATAAAGGAGGGGAGAGGTCGATTTTTACGTGTCGTGGTTTATGTAACACAGTTACATCCTTCTTACATGATTTACGAAAAGTATTTAACGTCGCCAGTGCCGGAGTAAGATCGTTTAGATCCTTGGACTACGAAAAATAATTTTTGTGGGAAAAAATAAAAAAGAAAAACATTTTCTTAAAAAAAGGAATGATGTAAGTGCAACACCTTAATCGAGCCTTAAATATCTAGCAACGATTGGGTCTCTGAATGATTTATTTTGAAATCCATCGAAATTGCTAGCTACGATGCGATACCTCGAATTTGCATTATTTTCATTTTCATGCGGTAACCTCATGACGCGATAACCCATGTTCCACGATAAATAATCCATTTTGCGATAAAATTAAATTGTTTACGCGTCGGGAAATTTCAAGTGGATCGAATGGCGCCGTTCAGACAAATTTCTGGTACGCACCGCCATCTGGTTGAAAGTGGGTGTACTTCAGTCGTAAAAATACACTGCGTATGTTTTCAATTATTTTATATTTTTTCGATCACGATCACGTTCGATCGATGGAAGTTCTTTTTAACACAACTATCCGTTCGAGTTATTTGTCACTATAAATATATTTTTAAAAATCACAGCGAAGTTAATAAGGCATTTTTAAATGCAAACACGTACGTCCGTGGTACGATACATTTTGCTGCGCTTCTTAGACTTAACGTTTCAAATAAGCGTAACCTGCCAACAATTTTATTGTAACACGAAGTTTTTAAATAAACAAGGCATGCCAACAATTTTTCATTAACATTGGAATCACCAATTAATCGTTCTGTATAAATGCATCGAAAGCTTCACTCGTTGCTCGAATCGATCGTCACTTTATGAGTTCTCATAGGTTTTCAACCGTACCAAATCTTGGGGTCTAAAGACACCAACTTCCGTGATGATGCCCTTGATGAGACTAGCTGGAGTTACGTCGAACGCTGGATTCCAACACTGTATTCCAGCTGCCGCGACTCGTTGGTTATTTATATGGGTCATTTCCCTTTCTGGCCTTTCCTCGATGATGATGTGGTCGCCGCTAGGGATGCTGAAGTCAATGGAGGTTCGCGGGGCCGCCACGTAGAAAGGAACGTTGTGGTATTTGGCAACTATGGCTATCTGAAAATATTACGATGAAAGTATTAGAAACGGAGTGAATAAATTGCATGTAAAAAATAGCATAATCGTTACGTTCTTACCTGGTAAGTTCCAATTTTATTAGCCGTGTCGCCATTGGCAGCTACTCTATCGGCACCGACGACGACCGCGGAAATATTTCTCGACTTCATCAGCGCTGCTACCATGTCATCGCAGATCAGAGTAGCAGGAATTTTTTCGTACACTAATTCGTAAGCGGTTAGCCGCGCTCCTTGATTGTACGGTCTCGTTTCTGTGCAATATGCGTGTTCTGTAACAGTAGTTAGTACTGTATAATTTTATCTTAAATCTTGCGAAGTTTAAGAACTAATGACATGCAAACGTTACCAAGACTATTTTTCTTATGAAGGGATCTAATAACACCTAAAGCTGTGCCATAACCTGCTGTCGCAAGGCTGCCAGTGTTACAGTGCGTCAGAATCCTAACATTATTGTCTCCAGACGCGTTCTTCAAGATCTCTTCGGCTCCGTAATTTCCAATGGCTCTGTTATCAGCTATGTCCTTCTCCAACATATATTCTATAGCGTCGAGAAACCTGCAGGCATTATCGTTAACGGGATTAATATTGGAAATGAATCCATCCGCTCGCGTCGCGTTAGGTTTTTATACCTCTCCTTCATTTCTGCTACATTAACAGTCTGATCCTTACTAAGTTTATTGGCCAACTGAATTAATTCGTCGGCTGCGATTTTCATGTTAACAGCAGTCGGACGAGCGGACACCAAGTAATTTAATTTACCTTCGACGTCTTGTCGAAGATTCTTCTTGTCACTGTACTCTTCGTTCTTCAGTTCTGTTGCTAAACTGAGGCATCCTACGATGGCTATAGCTGGTGCGCCTCGGACCTGAAATCATACACAAGATGGGGTTACAAGGAATGCCTATAACCATAAGCATTGAGCTATTCTATGGTAGTTGACGTGCAATTTAAGTCAATTAACTGTTTCGGTTAAAATGCTGTTTGCATGAATCACTTTAAATTGTCTCAAGTTCCTTGGATGCAATTTAACTCCAACATTTTGCTTCTTAGATAATCATTTATTGACCCGGCGCAATGCAAATCTTTCAGTTACATGGATGCAGTTATGGAGACACAAGCAAGCAGTATTTAACCCATTGACTGCAGGAATCGCACAGGCGAGTATTCTAAGAGCTACTAGGGTGGCTAATCACGCATGGCTTGTCTCTACTTTTAAGTGGTAGAACATTCAATGCCATGCTTGAAGTCTACTCTTTTGTCTATTGCACTGAGATATAGAGACAAATGAAATTATCCTAGATTCTATGCCATTGTTTTCTCTATTGAGAAGGCTATGAATGTACATAGGAAACAGGGTAAAGCTAATAAATTTGCAAAACTCCTCCTTGGGAATGTAAAATGAATACATGAGAGAGTCGAGCATTAATTAGTCAGTGGGTTAATTTTGATACATTTTTGGAGTAAGTACTATCGAACGTAAACAGAATACTAAGTTGTACGTTTGTAAAACGTACCTGCATCTTGTTGATGACCTTCCATCCATCCTCCACGCCTTTGACGGGCACGTATCGCGAAATAGCCGGCAACAATATCTGATCGAGGATTTCCAACTTGCCATTTTCCCATTTGATCGCCTGTAGCGTCATCTCGGCCCCTCAGGTGTGGACGCGTGTTGTATATGGCACTCGTCGGAGATATACACGCGTATACGAGGACGCGGCTAATAGAACCGCCGCTTGGTAGTTACTGAATGAAACCAGAGCCCGTTCATTTGAAGCTCACGTGCACTTCGGACGGCCGTGACTCGAAACCTATCGTAACGCCGTATCGTGGTCGTATCACGTGACACGCGTGTAGCTGCGTGTTATGTATGAATTAGCCGACACCCAGCGCCATCTGTGCGCGCGCATTAGAAGCTGGTGTTCCCTCCAAGAGGAGCGCGAGTTATTCAAATAATTCCATAGCAAGGTGTCGCGTCAAAAATGTTATCAGAGCTTGGAATTTTAAATAAAATTCGAGGAATCTCGAGTAATGAGAGGACGAAGTCCAGGTAAAAATTAGGTGCAGGTTCTGTTCGTTTTATTGGAGGAATTTTCATTCGCGATAGTTGGAGGTATTACGTTTCGAGTCTTGTTAGATGATTTTGTAATTGTGTTGAATTAGGAGAGGAAAGATAGGACGATGGGCTTTACGGTCGACCAGGATATGGTTTATTCATTTACAAAAAAAAACATAGGTATTTCGAATGTGTAAGTGCACTTCATTCTCGTTTTGTCAACGAATAAATGATTACTCGACTATAAGGATTACTGTTCTATTTGAAGAGTGTACTAATCGCTGAAAATATATTTAAAAATTTTAGAAAAATTGGAAGGAAATAATTTCAAGTAATGTAATTCATATTGGATTGGAATTCTAGCAATTACTGTCGAGTTCGATAGGTGTTAAAAGCGCAAATAAACCAAGGCCCCGATGGACGTTAATTGAACGCAAATGATAATTAACGATAAAGAGCACAAAATACAGATAATGATTACTGGAAGTCGCAAAAAAACAATTTACCGCTAGTACTCGCCGTAGACTTTCTAATTTTAAACATCGAAATGAGTCGAGAGCGAGGATATAAATAAATCTCGACTCTAAAAACTGACACGATATACACGCCAACTAATAATAATCGATGGAGCGTGCGAAGTATCAATAACAATGATTGAATGCCCTAAGAACGGCTTGCAGCCGAACCACGTCATTTACTCCACGATTTTACATTTCTAGGATGAGATATATCACGGCAAGATAAATTTCGGTTCTAAAAACGACAGACATAGTAGCACGGTAACTAATAATAACCGACGAGGCGTGCAGAGTATCAATAATAATTATCGAGAGCCGCAGGAACGGCTTTCAAGTACGCCAGATCACTTTATATTTTACATTTTCAGAAGGAGGCGTAGTAAAATAAATTTCAGGTTTAAATGTTTGCAAAGTATTTTCAATTTGATGGAAATATTACAAACTTAGAAGGAAAGGCAAATTTCTTTTCACTGTATCGTTTGCTAAGCACACGATGAAAGATAGCTTCAATTCATTCGTAACACAGCTAATTTAATAAAGATTCCAACGAGGTCTAAACGAAGGACCTTCCTCTAGGTGTTATTCTTTTGATAAGCATTCAGCCACAAACGCAGTGCACGAGAGACGTTATCAAAGACACAATTAATTATTACAAGTCGCGGGTGCAGTCCACGGTACCTGCGTTACAAAGCCAGTATAATGTGTGAACTTAGATCAACCGCAAAGGAATCGCTCGGTGTTTCCGATGCAATTCGTTGCTTTGATCCTTTATATGATTCGCGGTGCCTACGTATCCCCGCGACCAAATACCAGCGGCATATTCCAAGTGCAAACTATCCCATTTACTTGCCGCGGGTTTTTAGAAAAAACCTTTGCATTTCAAAATAGACTGCACTTTTCAGATGGCCTCACCTGTACAGCCGCGTAAAACACATTCCGCGTTCGAAAGATGTAATTTCGCTCGGCGAATTTCGACCCGTTTTCGCGAGCTTTTTTTCACCTTTCCTCGAGTGTACTTGAGATCGTTCAATCGCGAGAGGGGAACAAACGTGTCGTCGAGCAGTATCAAAGTTTCACGAAATATCGCCGCGCTGCGCGACTATTTCTGCGTGAAAGGCGAGTCGAAGTCGAAAGGAAATGAAAAATAAACGTGCCAGGTGGTATCTTTCTTTCGTGATATCGCACTTATCGAGAGGAAGTGAAAATAAAGGGTTCTGCGAAGGAGGATTATTGTTATAATATCGATACGTCGAGGGCTGAATATGAAAAGTAATTATTTACAGACAAGAGGATTCTTTCTTCTCCGATACTGCGCTTATTGAAAGGGAGCGAGAATAAAGGGTTTTCCAAAAGGGGGATTGTGATTATTTTTATGCATTTATGGCAAATGAAAGAAATGCAACGCTATACAAAATATCAATGATAACAGCCGATAAGCAGGGATTCGAACCCTAACCCGTACCGGGTTCCGGTGCTTCGTATTATAGAATAACCCATCTAAACAGGTAACACAAGACATCTGTAACCCGAGTAACCCGGTTGTATGCGCGTTATAATAATACAGTAAAAACCATAGTTATTACCATGTTTCTAAACGGTAATCAATTTTATTTCAATATTGTCTATTTTCTACTCTACTGTCCATCCGCGAGAAGAAGGTCATGCAAGTGCTTACATTTACTCGCGCGCGCGCGCGCGCGCGTGTGTGTGTGTGTGTGTCCATATTTCGTATATATTTATTCCATCTTTAACTTATGTCTGTCTGTTCGTTGTACATTTATTATGCCAAATAATTGTTGAAGTTTAACTCTTGGCGGCACAGGAATTCAGGTCATAAAATAGACCCACGTTGCACAGGAATTTTATTGCGTTTTAAATCAAACAAAATTGTTATATTTTTATTAATAAAGGTATCACATAATGTAACAAAATAAATATAATAACAAAATAATATAAAATAACATAAATATGTAACATAAAAAAAATGTTTTTTTTGTTTTGTATTACTCCCCAAGTTGCATGATGGGACGAATAAAATCCCACCATACTTTCATCATTTGCAAACAAATTTAATCTTTAGTTTTTATTATAAAACACTTCACTTGTTTATATAGAACTAATTATTATATAAATTAACTTACCTCTACGATTTTTCACATAAAACCAAGAAAGAAATATTATCGTAATAAACCTTCCGCTTACAACAGTTGTTGAACCGGTATTAGGATGTTGAAAGTTGCAAACATAAGTGGATACATTTGTAACATTGGATGAATATATTACCAACTGCTTAACGTAAATAAGACGAAATATAAACCTATACACATGCAGCTATTGCAAAATTTCGAGGTGGGATTAAAAATGTCCCACGATGCATTACGGTCCATCAAAAAGGTGGGACACTTTTAATCCCACCGTGCCCCAAAGAGTTAAAAAGAAAGTACAAATACCGTTTCTAACAACACTCTAAAATTAATCAATCGTACATTCATTATATACTCATACTATTTAAACAATCTAGTTTCATTTGATTTGAATATTGCTGTAAGTTCACATATCTTTGACTTGTCTGGATGTCTAGGATGTCTTCTTCTACCAGTAACCCACTTCGAGCAGGTTAAAACGCTCTTCCTACAATTCAAGAACCGTTCCTTCGTGGTTAGTATGATTTACAGTAACCTTCCCTTCATTAACTGGGTTTGGGTTAGGGTTCAGCAGCGATTCGAATCCCTGTCGATAACTGCCTAAATGAGTAATATTTTGCGGACCATTCCTCATCATAATAACGCACGTATAATTGTGCAGCGTTATCTTAATCGATGTATTATTATCGTGATTTACGTTATCATGATTTCTGTATTACGCTTTAAATAATTCATTATGTATACACTAAACTTTCAAACAACTTCGCGAGAAGATTAATATTGAATTTTGATAAAATAAAACACGATAAGTAAGACGTTACACTTGTCATGCTTGATGATGGAAAAATTAGGATTCATTGGAGTTCGTGAAATATCCGATCGCCAATATAAATTTGCTCGTATATTCGCGAAATTTCCAGTGGTCTTCTGAATTGTTGTTTACACGTATTGTGCTTTCTGAACTTTGGACCACTGTACAACGCCTGATAAGATACCGGGAAACGTAGCTATAGAATGGAGCAACCCAGCTTTCAGAGTATAAAAAAAGGAGGAAATACTGTAGATTACCTACTCGAAACGAAGGAAAAAGAGTTGGAGAATTCGCAACACTCGTGGACATTTAAATCAGTGTGGAAGTGAAATGTAAATTGTTTACGTGATAACAGTTCGATTTAAACTTGGGGGCAATCAGTGAAATAACTCTCAGATTTGGAAGGAAAATAATACAATTTTTTTGTTATCGAAGCGATAAATAATTATGCAGCAATTACAATAATTGTGTTAATTGCTCTGACACTGGACACTTCAGTCGAAAACGTTATAGGAGATGTATCCAATATTCAGTCCAATTCGCAAAGGCTAAATAACGTTTTATCCTCAAAGAAAAATATTAAAAACCTTTCGCTTCGTTAATTGTGTTAGCGCTGTTCTCCTCGAGCAATACTTCATAGCAAGTTTCACGGAGTAACTTTCCTGAGTCAATATTTTCGTTCTTAGAACGAAGTACTACCTACCATTTCTCACGTTGCTAAAAAAAGCATAATAACTACTTGTAATTTCATTACTTATTTTTTTCTTGCATTCAAGAACTGTTTCACTCGCTGAGTACTGAAATTCATAAAATACAATTCGCAGAAAGGAGCAAATTAAAAAGCATTTGTACTCAGGAGTACGGTACATAAGTAAAATTAAAAAGAAACATTCGAAAGATTCTGTACAGTGTCCAGTTTCGTTAAAGTGAAAAATATAATTTCTTAATAAAATAAACGAGTCCTCTGCCATGGGAAATTTGTTATTGTCAAATATTTTCATAATGATAATGTAATAGTTGAGTATTATTAAAATTGAAATGTTGCCAAGGGATCAAAGTCGAAACGTGTACACAAATTCATATTCACTTTAATTAAATATATCTATGTACATTATAGGTA